TTGTTTTATACTTATTCTTAACATTTTTAGCATCAAGTTGTAGGAAACAGGTTTTTGTTGTTTTAAGATTTATTTATTTATTTATATAGAACCAGGGTACAGGCCAGAAATGCAGAGGGTGAGAGGATTCACCAGAGACAGAGCGGGGAGCAGAACAGGCAGATCCACAAAGTACACTGCTGAGGGGAGCAGCGGGCGGATCAGGAGAGGTCTGCCACACCATGTGGATCTCCTCCCGGGCGGGCAGGCGGGCGGGCAGGCGGAGCGGATCGAACTCATGCGGAAGTGGCTCAAGCTTCTTAGTGCTGTGCTTTAACCCCTTGCGCCACCAGGGAGGGCCCGGAAATGGTTTTTTATAGTACTGTGATCAAAGCTAAGATGAGCTCCTGTCACTATCACTGATGTCACATATAAGGTCCTGAACACAAATAAAGTACAAGGATACACCCTCTAAAACTCTGAAGGTTTTCTGCTCAAAGTAATCTAATAATAGCAAATTATTACAAGAGTTTTCTCTAGTATCACCTGACGCTGGTTTTTCATCTTAATCATTAGAATGAAAACTCATTAGGGATAAGAAAAAAGCAATTTCTTTATTATGCATGTCAGAGATCTTTAACAATATGTTAGTACATTTGCCATCCATTTTGTCATGATAAGGAAGATGTGTTTATTGAAGATGTGTTTAATCCTCCCCTGATTTTAACTACTTCTAATATAGTGATGGATACTTGTGGTTCTCAGTAGAAGAGATGAGAGTCCCATGAAAGAAAATCATTGTGTTCACTTAAATGGCCTTGACTGAAATGCATGGAACGCCCACTCTGTAACAAATCCCCAAGTTCCCTGGAAACTGCTGACTCTGAGAAGATTATAAGATGTGAGTGTGTACACACACACACACTTTATTCTCCCAATTCCCAAGACTATTTCAAGTCATACTTATAATTGTTTTCTCTGTAGACATCCTCTACTTAAGTACTCATTTGTGACTCCTCAATGTATAAATAGAACTGAAGAGAAAATGCAAATACTTTAAAAAAGAAGAAACTCTAAGGGCTGCAGATAACTAGATCAAAATCTTGGCTTAAAAAAATACATTTACTGAGTACCTGCTATGTTTAAGACGCTGAAGGACTGCCTGATGGAACTTCCATCCTAATGGGGAAGATGACAAACAAGTAAGTATACGGTATATCATTAAAGAGCAAGGATGGGTGGTTAGGGGAGTATTGGGAATGGGAGGTTAGGGGAAGGTGTTTTAATATGACTAAGCCAAGGACTCAATGACAAGCTGACATTTGAACAATGAAGGAACAGACCCATGTGGCCATCCAACCCCTATGAATTTCAGGCCCGATGGACAAAAGTTCCAAGTAGAAATGTATTGGCTTGAAGGCCAGCATGCTGGGGCAGAGTGAGAGAGAGCACAAAAGGAGTAGATGAAGTCTAAAAGGTATGAAAGGGTCTTCATGGCCAGATCATACCTGTGGGCCTTAACAGGATTTTGTTCTTCCTGGAAGACAGGAAAACAAGTAGCAGTAATAAAACAGAAAGTGGGTTACTGAGTCCATTTGAAGTTAGGATCCAGATTTGATGATGGGATGTTCGGAAAGATGCAGAATGTCTAATAGCCAGTATTCTGCCAAGGCTGACTCAGAAACCCCTGACGACTCAGGCAAGATTTCTGGTATCTTTTGTATTCCCATCTCCTCTCAGTTATTACACCTACTTCTCCTTTGCTGCTACGTATTTCAAAGTAAAGAAGCTACTCAGGGAACCACAGTTTAAACAAGTATCTTTGGGAACAAAAATGAGGAAGAAGAAAACTGGGTGACTATGGTCATAAGGTTCAGGCTTCCAGAAAGGAAGAGAAAGGCAGGATCTGGAGAGAAAGCTGGCGGATTCTAGGAGTCCTGCCACACTAGACCAACAGCGTGCTGGGTCACAGGCACCGAGGCAAGGATGCACTCGCCTCTTCCCCAAAGGATATTACTCCCTTTCTCTTCCTAGTTCTCTTCCACTCCTCTCCTTTTTACAAGTCAAGCCGGTATACAGGTTTCCCATCCACCCTCACAGCAGATGAGGCATAAAAAGGTTTATTCCCAATTCAAGCAGGAATAAATACCTGTTGCACATTTTGATCATTGTAGACAAATACATATATTTCCCTAGCCCCAATAAGCTTTGCTCCATATGTGAAAAGTCACCATTCTAAAAGTTCTACGATAAAATTCATATTTTTGTATACTAACTCACAAACTAAAAAACAGACATTCCCAAGGAAACAAGATAAATTTAAATTATTGATTTAACAGCTTAGTGAACATAAAATACTCAGGCTGACTCAGATTCTCTCAGAAATTCCTGCTTTGTAGAAAATGAATTTGATTCCTGAAGTACCCCAATTTAACTAAGACAGGAAGACCCAAGTTGTATTTGCTAACCAATGTTGTTTCATATCTTTAATTTTAAAAAAAATGCACTCTTTGACCTGATTCCATGTCTAGAAATGCATCCCACAGATGACCATTTGCACACATGCAGAATGTGTATAAAAGCCTTCATTTTTCTCATAGCAAAAGATTACAGACAGCTGTTCAAGAAAAAACTTCACACACATGCACACATACACCAAGGAAAGACCTTGTGGGCACACAGAAAGGATCTATTTGCAGGCCAGAAAGAAAACCCTCATCAGAACTCAACCATACAGGCACTCTATTCTTGGATGTCCAGTCTCCAGAACTGTAAGAAAATTAATCCTATTGTTTAAGCCTCTGTTTATGGTATTCTGTTACCGCAGTCCACAGAATAAGACACTATTTCATATAGTGGAATACAACATATCTTTTAAAATAACAAATTAGCTCAATGTCAGGTAAGTTGCAGATCAATGCATATATATTAATATGTTACTATTTATAAGAAAGGATAGATAAACAAATTTACTTATAGTTGCACAGAATCTCTCTCCAAGGATATACGAGAAAGTTGTGGCTTCTGAAATGGGAAGAGTGGGGTCAGAAATACCAGGGAGATATTTCATTGCATAGGTCACATATTTAAAATTATGTACCACATGAATGCATTACATACACCAAAACATGTTCACATTAAAATACATATTTTGGGCCCTCTGTGTGAGCTCAACGCCCAGCCAGGGAGCTGACCCACATGGAGCAGACCTCTCCTGTCTTGCCAGCTGCTCCCATCAGCAGTGTATTTCAGCAAATCTGTCTGTTCTGCTTCCCACCCCTGCACCTCTAGCCTGTACCCCAGTTCTTGTATGCATAAATAATCTTAAAAATATATATTTTAAGGCAAAAGCTGTTTAATGTGTACAGGTTTTACACAAGAGTCATGAAACTATTTTGAAACTCAACAGAGGTAGTTTTTCCACAATATTGTGAATGTATTAAATACCACTGAATTGTTCATTTAAAATGGTTAATGTTATGTTAATTTCACCTCAACTTTTAAGTGTTAGTGTTTTTTTTTTTTCAGATTCTACATAGTTTATTCAAAATCAACAACAAACCCAGGCTCATAAGGAGTGAGCCCCTCCCAAAGAGAAGGGGTTTATATTGCACTCCCATCAGCAGTGTGGGAAGTGTTTTTTTTTTTTTTAAAACAAAAAAGTGACTTTCCTTGCAAGATGCTTTTTGAGTCCTCAATTTTTTTGTTCAACATCCTACAGCTTCGACAGAAAAAAATTATCATTCATAGTTTAGATTGTTAAACATATGATCTTTAGCCTACTGTACAAACTATTTAAGTTCACCATACCCTTCCAATCTCAAGTTTCTTTTTACCTGCTCAGTTAAATCTTAATAACCTTGAGTCAATCATCTCTCTGGCCTAATATCACATCTCCCTGAGTCCTCTCACCTGGTCACAGTCTGCCTCCTCATGTAAGAGAATTGGCCTCTAGGTCATAATCTGACCCTCCCTTTCATCATCCATAAAACAGAAATAATGAAAACACCTCTTTCTTCATTGAATTTTTGTAAGGACCTGCCATTGACAAGACATTTGATGCCCCAGCAAAGTACCTAACTAATGGCAAGCACTCAACAAATGTTACTTATTGTTATTATTCTCTAATACACATCTCTCTTCTCCCAAAGATTGTAAGCAACTTGAAAGGAAGAATCTTGCCCTTGGATGTTTTGGGCCTCAGTTTTTATTTGGAAATTGTGTATTACCACACCCACTTTGCCCATCTACCATACGGAATTGAACGCAAAAAGACAACATACCTGAAATAGCACAATGCATGGTATAAAATGCTCACTGAAACGTCAAGGACTATCACCTTTGTAATTACTAACAGAGAGGCTTGCTGACGGGGTACACGTGGCTGTGATGGCCAGGTCTTCCTAATTAATTGGGTGAACCTGGGCAATACTTCTCTTCCATTCCGATCCCCCGAAAGGGCGCAGCTGCGCGGGACGCACACTAGGTACTATATGCAGGATCTGCTCTCGGGTGGCTGCTCGATTAGGTACCAGGCAGTTCGCTCTCCCCTCTCTTCTAGTTAACCCGCTAAAGTTAGGTTTTGGACACTAAAGAGCCTGCAGCCGGGCAGGTCGTGAAAAAATGGACCCTCGGGATGAGAACTTCCCAAGACTGCCCATGCGCCCGTCTTAAAATGCTCCAGCCCCTTCCCCTACCGTCTTGCAAGAACGCCGAGCTCCTGAGCGGCCTGCTTGACTGAACTCGGGACTAATTTTCTCTCCACCGTCGCCCCCATGCCTCGAAACCTGGGTGTCCCTGTCTCTCCAGGTCCGTCCACAGCCTGCCTGTCGCCCCCATTTTCTCTCCACCCATCCCAAACCTTATTTTTCATCCTTCTTCAGACTCCAACCCCTGTCGAAATTCCCAGTTGTGCCTTCTCTGTCCCCGACTTTCCCTCCACCACCTCCGAGTCCCCTCAAATTCCCTTTTCCAGACTCCCGTGCCCTTCCCCTCTCCCCCTCAGACGTTCCAAAATCCACCTGTACTTTCCGCCTCTTCAGCGCCGCCACGTCCAGCCACACGCCGCAGGCCTCCTCCTCCGGGCCTCTGCGCCTCATGGCTACCGAGGAGAGGCAGCCACACCCGGCGAGGGGCCGAACTCCTGCAAGAAGCGCCACAACTGCCTCCACCGAGGTTCGAATCTCGCGCCAGCGCAGGCGGCGGCGCTCTTCCTCAGCTGCGCAGGCGCAAGCCCCGCCCCCAGCGTCAACTCCGCGGCGACGCAAGCCCCGCCCCTTCCCTAAGCCCCGCCCGCGACACTAAAGAAACTGACCCCCGCCCCCTGACTGGAGCATCCTTCCATTCCAGAGTTGTATTCGAGATCTGTGCAGCATAGCTTCTCGCACCTTCTTTCTGAATGTATAATTACCCCGAAGCTTCGGGTTTCCTGGTCTCGTCGCTGAATCCCCACCTTCACCTCCAAAGAGGTGGGACCCAGGCTCAACTCCGTGCGCTCCGAAGCACTAAATGGTTACCATAAACACTTGACTTCGTTACTTTTGTGATAACTATGAAGCCACATGGGAGAGGATTAAGAAAATGTCAAAAAAAATTTTTTTTTAAAAAGAAGCTAAAAATTCGGAGTCAAGAACTAGCTTTCAGCCCTGCCTAACTGCTTATGTGTGAATTTGGATTACAGAGGAGCAAGTGAGGAAATTTCATGAAATGTACTTTGTAAATGCTGGAAGCTCCTCAAAAACGCAGACCATTTCTGACCAAACGCTCCATCGATGTCACTGCACATACGGCAGTATACTTTACATTTTAAATGTTTGAAAAATGAAAAAGGTCTAAAAATTTTTAAACAGTATACTTTTGGAGTGAAGTTCTGTTTCCTCCTTGGGGCTTTTTCCTTATCTGTACTTTGTAAGTTTCCTTCACTGTACATATATTGCCAAGTGCACTGTGGGGAGGCAGCCTTATAAAAGGGCAGATCTTGTCCTTTAAGTCTGCTCTATGCAGATGTCTCTTTTCCTCTTAAAAAACTTGCAGTAAAAATAAAAGCTAACATAAACAATTTGATAAAAATTAACATAAAATCCTCCTTCATTGAAGGAAAGACCAAAATATGAAATCTCGATCAAATTAGGTGGAATTGAGCATATTTTAAACTTTTAACTTCTAAAACTTAGTAATAAAACTACCTCCCCTGCCCCCCTACCCCCCGAAAGTTCACAAACAGTGTAAAGAGAGAGCCCCAGCCTCAGTCCCAAAGATAAATCAGAAACTATCTTCTCCCAGTGCCATCCCCAGGGGCTCCAGCTTCCCCCAGGCACCTTCCTCCTCTGCCAGCACCACCTCCCTGGGACTGGAGACAAAAAGCAAAGAGCAGCTGTTATCAGTCACTTTATTGCAACCAGGACTTTTTGGGGTCCGGATCATCCCTAGCTCAGCCCCAGAGACCTTTCTTATCTCTGAGCCTTTGCCAGGCTTGTTTCCTCTGCCTGGAATGCCCTTCCTCCACTCACCTGCATACTCCAGGCCCAGCCCGAGGCAGCACTGATTAATTCTTCCCTCCTCAGTGCTTTCCTCCTGACAGTCCATTTCTATACAAAGCCTGTATGTCCTCCACACGGCTCACCCAGTGGCCCACCCCTGAGTGGAGACCCAGAAACAGAGTGGACAACTGCATCCTGAATAAGGGGGCAAGGAGACAGGCTGGAAACCAGCGCTGGGAGGCTTGGGGCTCCCTGTCTGCAACCACGACTGAAGAGGTAAGGTGTGGGGCACTGGAGGTGATCCACCTCCACCTGGCACAATCTTCTACCTTTGGAGACTCTTAAAACTCCAGATTGGGGTTCAAGGTAAGGTCCTACAAACATCTAGGGCCTGTCCTTACCCTATTCACCAGTGAAATCTGGATATAGGAAGGTTGCCTCTTGCTCAAATGTGACTTTGGGTCAAACCCTATCTTCACTTTCATCCCCTTCCAGGTAACCTGGAACCCCCAAACCAGGATCCTGGTCTGAGGTGACCCCCCTCCTCACCCCCAGTGAGAGGCAATGGGAGGAGACAAACCAGGGTGGACCACATCTCAAGCTCTCTCCCTCTCCCAGGGAAGGGAACTGAGGCAGGCCCGGAAGTGGACTCCAGCAGCAAATGTGTGGCCAGTCCCCAAATCCAAGGTCTGACCAGTGCCACCCTGGCAGCTCAGGCATGCACAGAGAGTCACCATGGCCAGACACAAACAACTTTACCAGGCCTATTCCCATCTGGAGCCAAGCCCGGACCCTGGGCCCCCACTAAACCTCCCTCCCCACCACTGCCACCCCCTTCACTGGGTCTTCTGGTCAAGTTTGCGTCGTACCAGCTGGCTCAGGAGGAAGGCAGTGAAGACACTGCTGCCCACAGTGAGCAGGAAGAGGCCAGAGAAGTTGTGAGGCCAGCGAGTGTGCAGAGGCTCGTAGATGGGCCGGCGGGCCTCGTAGTCCAGCGCCACAGCCTCCAGCTGAGCCAGTGTGCACAGCACCAGGAAGACGTGGAAGATTTGGTGGCCCTGCCCGAAGATGTGGCAGCTGCCAGGGAACCAGCGCTCGGGCATGAAAGCGGAGAAAAAAGCAGCAGCCAGCAGGAAGAAGACCACCTGGCACTTGTGGTAGAGAAGAGCCGGGTCGTCCGCGGCAGGGGACACCAGGATGCGGTGGGCCACGGGGCTGATGTCCAGCGCGTAGGCCAGTGCCGAGGGCATCTCCTGGCAAGTGCGGCCCAGTAGGCCGGGCTTCTGGATGTACTTGTTGTAGCAGGATCCAGTGCAGGAGAGCCAGGCGAGAAAGGCAGCCATAGGCAGGAAGATGGTCTGCACCTGAGCGTGCCAGGCAGGCTCAATGGCATAATAGAAGTGTGCCAGGGCACTGCCAAACTGGTACACAGCCACACCCACATAGTCCAGGAAGAAGAAGCTATAATGCCAGAACTCGGACTTGGCCTGCAGGAGGTGAGCTAAGGCACTGAGGGAGAGGTAGGTAAAGGAGGCGAGGACAATGATGAAGAGGGGCAGGGCATGTGGGTCTCCCCAGAAGTCCACGGTCCCCACAAAGATGACCAGCCGCAGCAGCAGCACCAGGGCCGCCAGCAGGTGGGTCCAGACGTTCACGGCCTCGTTGTGCTGCTGGAAAAGCGTGCGGAAGTAGAAGCTCCAGGTCCGGTGCAACGGCCGGTAGCCCACATAGATGTAGGGCTTCCAGAAAAGTGGGGGCACCTCGGCTCGGCCCACCGTGAAGACAGGCTCTGGCTGCGCGGATGGCGGCGGAGCTTGGTGGACCTGCCGCAAACTGGGCAGGAAGTGGCTGAGCCTCTGGGCCACCATGGTGGCCATGGCTGTGGGCCTGGCAGGAAGCTGTGGGAGAGGCCAGAGGGAAGTCAGGAGGCTGGTGTTCTCAACCTCTCCACCCCCTGGAGCAGCAACTGGAAGGCTGGGAATGCCCAGTGCTTCCTCTCCCCTCTCTCCTCACCCCTCCCTCCCCCCTTAACCCTACAGTTTAAGAGGAAAGGAATCAAACTAAGCCAGACCTCATGATCTCTCGACTCCCTGATGTATCCAGGTGCCTAGAACAGTGCCTGACACATAGAGGTGCTGGGATGTTTGAGGACCCGTTAATGAATGAGGATCAGTAGCTCTGCCATTTCCTCTCTGGCTCAGACTCCTCATAGTAGCCCCCATGTTTTCTTCCTGTGTTGGTGCTGCTGTTAATGTTCACCTGTTGGTGGCAACGACCTTGCCAACAACCCACACCCTCTATGGGCCGCCAGCAGGTGGGTCCAGACGTTCACTCCTCTTTGGGCTGCTGGAACAGCATGCGGAAGTAGAAGTGCCAGGTCTGGTGCAACAGACATAGCCCACATACATGTAGGGCTTCCAGAAAAGTGGGGGCACCATGACCTGGTCCCTTTTCCAGCCTCAATGTTCAACAACAATGCACTTCAAATGCAGCCACAGCCTCACCAAACCCCTGGCCTGCTGTTTCGCCTGAGTATAGCTTTCCACAACTATTTCCTCCACCTGAGATATTTCTCCCTATCTAGCCTACTTGGGAAACTCCTATTCATCTCTCAAAGCCCATTTTTCTGTGAGACTTTCCTGGCCCCCTGAATCTCCCATGATGACCCTTCTACTTGAGTATCTATCCAGCCTTTGACCATCAGCACTTCTCATGAGCCTTAATACTGTTAACATGGGCTCCGGGTAGGCAGAAAGTCTCACTTTTGTGAGCCCCTGGTAGCTGGCTCTCAAGTACAATCCTTTCCCAGAGCCAGCTGAAATATAATGTTGAGAATAGGGAAATTCAGAGAGATCAGAGGTACTTGCCCAAGGTGAGAGAGAGGGCGCTGCACCTCACAGAAAACACGTATCAAAGCAGGTGACTAAGCCCCTTCTTGTACATTATATCCTTCGGCTCCTAGTCATTGACTTGCATCCTGAGACTCAGTCTCGCCCATTATCAAACACCCATTTGCTCTACACCTGGCTCACAGCTACCTTCTCTGGTGGCAACTCATTCCCAATCAGCTCTCCCCCCCACAACACAGTGGGCCCTAAATCTAGAAACCAGAGGCAGTATGTGGAGGCCTGCTGCCCCATTTCCTTTAGACCTCAGCCAGAATCCCCTTCCATCTGAACAGGTCTATTTTCAAGCTAGTACCCAACTTCAGATTCCACGGAAAGGGGCCTGGATCCAGGAGAAAGGAGCAGAGGTCAAGCGTGAACTGGAAGGATGACATGGGTACACCCCTGGGAAGTCCGGACATCTGGCTGCCAGGACCTGCCTGTCACACTCACCCCACCCCAGCCCATGGCCCCTCCAGCCCTCCCAAACTGCGCTTGTTACCTAGGGGTTTCTCTTGAGCCTAGGGGTTGCTGACTTCCTCTGTGGGACTGGACAAATTCTCCAGATGCCAAGCACTGGTGAGAGGGTCACTAGGTGTGGGGCTTCCAAGGACTGGAGGTATCTTGTGTGATGTCACCAGAGGGCGGGGCTAAAGACAACAGCTCTACCTCTCCCCTCCCCCATCACTATTCCCACGTTGATCAACTCAAGCTAGACTCTTTCCTCTTGGCCAGGCCTCAGCTGCAGAAGGAAGCTCACCAGCCTCCATGTGAAACACGTGGGGAGAAGGGGGGAGAGGTGGGCAGCTGGCTGACAGGCATGACTTACCCGAGATCACACAGCCTGCAGGTAAAGCTGGCCTGAGGCCCGGTATCCAGGATCTGGCTGATGGATGTCAAGCAAGCTTGAATGGCCTCTGTTCCCTGGTCAGTGGGAATCAGAAGGGAGTTAGGAATAGGGAGAGACAGGCACTATGAAGACTGGTGAAGCAGATGGACTGCAGATTTGCACAAGCTGGGTTCGCCTGATTCTGTAACATAATAGTGGTGTGTCCTAAGACATGGGACTTACCTCTCTGACCCTTAGAACCTTTGTGAGAGTCAAATAATAGCATCTACCTTTAGACTGACGCAAAGATTACATTTATTAGAACAAAGTTTGGGCCCAGTTAGGTAATAAATGACTGCTACTCTCACAGGAGTAGTAATAAATAAGGGCCCTCCCTGGTGGCGCAATGTGTTAAAGCAGAGCACTGCAAGCTAGCATAGATGTGAGTTCAATCTCTGCCCCCGAGGTGATCTGGCCCGGCAGACCTCTCCTGACCTGCCTACTGCGCCCTCAGCAGTGCACTTCGTCAATCTGCCTGTTCTGCTCCTATTCTGTCCCTGGTGAATCCTCTCACAGCTCCTGCAAATCTGACCAGAACCCCAGTTCTGTATGCAGAAATAATACATAAACTTTAAAAAAAAAAAAAAAAGGAGTAGTAATACATGAACTACCCTCCATCTGAGAGATCTACTCAGTGTTCCACTGGATTTAGGGGCCTTAGCTTGTATTTCTGTTTCTTTAAACATTTATCTTTTTCTGAAGGTACATTTAGGGACCAGAGGAATTTGGCTTGACTTTGGACATTTGGGGTCAATAACCTTTTTAATAATTAAATTGTTCTCAGCAAAAACCATTCAGAGCAACCAGCTGGATTCACAGGGCCCAGAAGATCTGTGTTTGCTCACAGACCCGAGACAGGTGGTTGAGAAGTGAAATCCCCAGGGAAAGGGGCCTCCATCCAGCAGCCCCAGTGAACCCAAGTACTCCAGAGGGCCGGTCACTGTCAGACACGTCATGCAGGTCCAGGAGTCTGGCTGTGCAGACTGGAGGTCTCCAGGGCTCAGGTGAGGGTCCATCAGTCTGAGGGTCCTTCTCTCTCCAGCCCTGCCCCTTCACATTCCCCTGCCCTAAGGCAGGGTCAACCTCGCTCAAGGCGTGTCACCCCTGGGACCACCCCGGTCCTATGCCATGTGCACTGACAGAGTCCCCCATACTCCTAGGCACAAAGCAGAAGCTCGGGTGGGAGGGAGGGGCAGCAAATGGGTGCTGGAGAGGGAGGGCCCTGCTGGGCCCCACTCCGCGGGTCTGACTCCATGCTGACCACGTGCCAGGCACAAAATTGCAAGGCCGGAGCACTGGGGAATGAAGCAGACAGGCTGGCTGCCCTGCCAGGACTCACCCACCCAGAAATCCATCCCAGAGGGGAGCCACCCAGGAGGTGTCAGCAGAGAACTGGAGTGAGCTGCTGCCCCAGGGAAGGGGCCCCTCCTTCAAGAGAAGCCAGAACCCCCACTTTTTCTAGTGTATAGAGTTTCAGGTCTGGAATTTTAACAGCTGTGTGACTTTGCTCAAGGCCCTTAGCTCTGAGCTTGTTTCCTCATTTACTATCAAAGGATAACAATGTTGTCACACTTAGTGCTCCTGAGAGCTCGCTGGCTCTGGCACAGCCCCCGCATCACTATTTTTGTTGTGTTCTAGTCCTGGCTCAGTCACTTAATCCCTGCATGACCTTGGACAAGTCCCTACCCCTCATGGCCCCGGTTTCTCCAAATGTCCATGGAGAGTGTGAATTCACCAATGATCTCAAAGGGCCTCTCCAGCCCTGAGACATCCCAGCAATATTGTTAGGCCTACTATGTGCCGGGCTCTAGAGCTCAAGCCAGTTAAAACACCACCTCCCGGAACTGAAGCCCAGTTGACACTATGGGTAACACTGAGGGGATCTGATACCTGCATTCCTGGACCTCAGTGAACTAGTACTTAGCGATCCTATTGTTTGGTTATAATTCTTCTTCCTTTTTGCCTCCTTTCTGAAATGCAAAATATTCACTGTTGCTTTTCTGGGCCTGCATTGTTCAGCATTCTCCCTTAAAGACAACTTTATCTTGCAGGGAAGATAACATGTAACGCTTCAGATAAAAATAATAAGCCCAGAGAGGTGTTAACTCTGGGGCTGTCAGAGATAAACAGTCCTGAGGGGTCCTGACAAGGACAACACAAGGCAGGGCCTGAAATGTGATTAATAAGACCACGCCGTGGTCTTATAATTCACAGTAAGGAGCCCTCCCCGGTGGCGCAACAGGTTAGGACGCAGCACTGCGAGCCAGCAGCTGCCACTTCAGTGTGAGTTTGATCCCCACCTGCAGGTGACCCACATGGCGCGGCAGACCTCTCCTGACCCGCCCGCTGCTCCCCTCAGCAGTGTGCTTCGTCAGTCTGCCTGTTCTGCTCCCCACTCTGTCTCTGGTGAAGCCTCTCACCACTCCTGCAACTCTGGCCTGTATATATACATAAATAAATAAATCTTTAAAATAATAATAATAACTTACAGTAAGTTCACAAACAACTTCCTCGCACATTTACCCTTCACAGCAGCTCTAAGCCTGGTCTCAACTGTTGTCAAAGCTCTTTGGAAGCCCTCTCAGCTGGGGTCACAGCTCCAGCCAGGTTGGCAGAGTAAGTCTGACTCCCAGACCAGTGCTCTTGTCATTCATCTGCTGAGGTCAGCTCCCAGGCACCCAGTGGGTGGGTGGCCAGATTATGCAAGCGAAGTTTTCATCCCTGGCTGGCCTCCTGATCTCCTGGCAACTGGGTGACCCACCTCAATGCAAACCAACCCCCACCCACCCCATGGCCCAGTATGGGTTTAAAAAGTCCCTCCAAGTCTTTCAAAACTGAACAGGAACTGTTCTTTTGTTTTTGTAACTGTGGTAGCAGTTGCTCCAGCCCCGTTTTTGAAATGTCTTTGGTTTTTGTATACTGAAAAGTGCAATCAGCATCAAATAAATAACTCTTAGAGGAATTTCCCCCTGTTGCTCAGATTCACAACTACTCCGAGGAAGCGAAGAACAAGGAGGAGAGCATGCCCAGCAAGGTTAAGTGGGCTGGCTACAGTCACCCAGCACAGGGACCAGAGAAGGAACCAGAAGACAGGGGTTCCTCCAGACAGGGGGAGGGAGCTGGCCAGGGGCCGCTTCTCACCAAGCCCCCACCCCTAGGTGCACAGACCCCATGTACCATGGCAGCTGAAAGCTGAGGCTCTGGCCCAGGCTTTAAGAATACATAAAATTCTCAAGTGCCCAATTTTGGCCTGACCTGGCTCCTCACTTCCACCGGCTCCTGGCGCCTGCCCTAAGCAAACTCCCCGTGGGGGTCCTCAAAGCCTGCAGTGCAGTGGGGCTCCCTCCACCCCTTCCCTTTCCTGACACCAAGGGGACTTCCCCATCCCGGAGGCCTGTTCTCCCGAGTGCAAGGCCCTCTGTCCCCTGCCTGCTGCTTCGCCTCCAGAGTCTCCCTAGAATCCCCCTCCGGTGGCAGCTGGGAGCTCCTGGCCAGTCCTCCGCCCACCGCCTCATGGACACGCACCCCGCGAGCTCGGTTCCCGCTCCTCTACTTCTCCAACTCTTTCTCGAGATGCACCCCTCCCGCTCTTCCTCTTTGGGGCTCCCCGGCCCGAAGCAGTGCCCCTCCAGCTGATTCCCAGACACCCTCCCACTCCCAACAG